ATTACCATTGGCAGGTGGCTAATAGGATTGGGTTCAATAGTTAATAATCCACATGGATTGTCAATTATTTTAAATTGAGCCAGTAGAACAATCCACGCAGAAAAAATCTTATTATGACAGACGATGAAATTATCCATCGCTAAAATTAGGACAAAAACAATTCCCGTAAAAATGTGCCGAACTGGTTATGCCTGATCAATGGCTTATTAGATGTTTACCGTAGTTAAAATTGGCAGTCAGTACATTAAGTTATCAACTCATCGATGGAGTTTAGAACAATCAACGTTTTCAAAATAAAGGCACAGTATTAAATCAGATGGTACCACGTGTTAGGATTAGAGTTAGGATTAGAGTTAGGGTTAGGGTTAGCGTAAGACCTAGGAGTACAACCGAACTCTGAAAGAAGTCAAACTTTGGGCAGCTGCCGCCAGTTTCAAGCTTACCAAAAGAAATCATGCAGACGTATACTGGTATCTTAGTGTGTTCGTTAAAAAAAAAACAAAAAAAAAAAAAACATCGTGACCATTGTAACCATCGGATTGGTGTTGGGTTGAATCTGGCTGTGGGTGCGCAGATGGCTCATCTAGTAAGGTGTGGGTGCGCAGATGGCTCATCTAGTAAGGTGTGGGTGCGCAGATGGCTCATCTAGTAAGGTGTGGGTGCGCAGATGGCTCATCTAGTAAGGTGTGGGTGCGCAGATGGCTCATCTACTAAGGTGTGGGTGCGCAGATGGCTCATCTAGTAAGGTTTGGGTGCGCAGATGGCTCATCTAGTAAGGTGAGAGGATATTTGGGTAACACCCTAGTGTATTCTTTAATTAAAACTGAACTCATATAGGGACAGTTAAACTAAGTTCATTCATTTTATTTCTTGAATTATTTGTCTACCTACAAAACCGCATGAAACACGATGGCCCAATTGTATGTATAAATATAATGTTATTAAATAAGACAGAATGTTATCATCTAGGACATAATGTTGTAAACTAAGACATAATGTTGTCAACTAAGACATAATGTTTTAAACTATTGCTTAATGTTATCAACTAGGACACAAAGTTATCAACTAGGACATAATTTGTTCAACTATTGCTTAATGTTATCAACTAGGACATAGTGTTGTCAACTAAGACATAATGTTATCAACTAGGACATAACGTTTTCAACTATTACGTAATGTTAACAACTAGGACATAATTTTACTAGGACATATTGTTGTGGAATAGGACATAATGTTATCAACTAGGACATCATGTGCTTAGCTGAAAGTACGTTTAGATTTGAAAATAAAAGATCAGACAAGACCAGATGATGGACGTTTCGGCCACTTACGCAAATGGAAACCTAATGGGAGACCTGCGGCAAAGTTGTTGTGAATGCGCATGTCAGAAACTGACGTCATTGTCTTTGGTTTAACCAGTGCATGGTGCTAGCGGCCATGAGACCAGTTCATGAAAACTCAAAGGAAGAACACAGTGCAACCAGATGACAGACATACGTGTGCCCGCGAGTCGTGATAACACTTACACGCGCTGTAAGTCCAAGACATGCCTGTGGTGTGCCGCCAGAACACTTACACGCGCTGTAAGTCCAAGACATGCCTGTGGTGTGCCGCCAGAACACTTACACGCGCTGTAAGTCCAAGACATGCCTGTGGTGTGCCGCCAGGCGGATTGGGGTGAGAAATATATCACAGGACGTGCGTGACGGCACACTCCTAATTGCGCTCCAGCATCACACCAAGGGTGTTTAATAGTTCACTGTCAATGTTGCTACTGTAACACACACAACAATAACATCTCAGCTTTGCTTAGGAAATGGGAACTTCGGGGGATCAATAATATGTGACTAAAGATGAATGACATAAATCCATTGATCGTAGGCCCTCAAAATATAGAAGTAGAAGAGAAGAAGAAGAAATAATAAAACATGGCTTAAAAGTACATTTAATGACAATGAATCATTTGGTTCTAAAGCCTCGAGATGTCTTTAGTATAAAATATCATAGCATTTCTATGCAAGCTGGGATGAAAACAAACTCAATTTTCTCAATAATAAAAAGCTTAACATTTTCTGAAATGCTACGGTCTATCGATCTGTTTGAACAAGGGAGATGAGCTAAAATATACACATTGCCAGAGCTGTATTACTGACTTTCCTACCCTTAATTTTTAGATTCTTTATATAGTGATCTATTACTAAGATAAGGCCCGCATTGGAGAACTATAATAGAATATCGAAAAAGACCACTTAAGTAAAACATAAGGAAAGCCTTGTTCGGACCTTTGTTAGAGCCTTGTTTGGGCCTTGTAAGAGCCTTGTTTTGGCCTTGTCAGAGCCTCCTTAGAGCATTGTTTTGGTCTTGTTAGAGCCTTCTTAGAGCCTTGTTTTCACTTTGTTAGAGCCTTGTTTTGACTTTGTTAGAGCCTTCCTAGAGCCTTCTGAGAGCCTTGTTTTGACCTTGTTAGAGCCTTGGTTTGACCTTGTTAGAGCCTTCCTAGAGCCTTCTGAGAGCCTTGTTTTGACCTTGTTAGAGCCTTGTTTTGACCTTGTTAGAGCCTTGTTTTGACCTTGTTAGAGCCTTCTTAGAGCCTTGTTTTGACCTTGTTAGAGCCTTCTTAGAGCCTTGTTTTGACCTTGTTAGAGCCTTGTTTTGACCTTCCTAGAGCCTTCTTAGAGCCTTGTTTTGACCTTGTTAGAGCCTTGTTTTGACCTTGTTAGAGCCTTCCTAGAGCCTTCTGAGAGCCTTGTTTTGACCTTGTTATAGCCTTGTTTTGACCTTGTTAGAGCCTTCTGAGAGCCTTGTTTTGACCTTGTTAGAGCCTTGTTTTGACCTTGTTAGAGCCTTCTTAGAGCCTTGTTTTGACCTTGTTAGAGCCTTCTTAGAGCCTTGTTAGAGCCTTCTTAGAGCCTTGTTTTGACCTTGTTAGAGCCTTCTTAGAGCCTTGTTTTGACCTTGTTAGAGCCTTCTTAGAGCCTTGTTTTGATCTTGTTAGAGCCTTCTTAGAGCCTTGTTTTGACCTTGTTAGAGCCTTGTTTTGGCCTTGTTGGGGCCTTGTTTATGCCTTGTTTTGACCTTTGGGGTCTTGTTAGGGTCTTATTTTGACCTTGTTAGGGTCTTCTTGGGGCCTCGTTAGAGGCCTTGTTAGAGCCTTGCTTTGACCTTGTTAGAGCCTTGTTAAAGCTTTGTTAGAGGCTTGTTAAAGCTTTGTTAGAGCCTTGTTTTGGCCTTTTTAGGGCCTTTTTGGGCCTTGTTAGGGCTTTGTTTGGGCCTTGTTTTGACCTTTTTGGGTTTTGTTGGGTCTTATTATGACCTTGTTATGGTCTTCTTAGGGTCCTTGTTTTGTTAGGGCCAAGTTTAGGCCTCGTTTCGAGTGCATCGTCCCATGAATAATCCGAGAGCGGCTCTCATCCCATTCTATCTTTCTACAATCAAATTTCATTTAAGACGAAGAGAAAATGACTAAAGTGACTCTGGTTCTCTTGCTGAAGATTTTTTCAGTAATAATTTTTGCGTTAAAACTACATTTATTGCTGGAAAATAGCCGCTAGTTCATTTAGTTTAAATATTTTTGTTGTTAAAAAAAACCTACAGCTTACAGTTACGTTGCCATTCATGAAACAATGGTTCAAACTTAAATACAATTTCCCGTCAAACAATTTGTAATGGTAGGCAACTGTGTCTGCATACAATGTGCTATGGTAGGCAAGTCTGTGTCTGCATGCAATGTGCTATGATAGGCAAGTCTGTATCTGTATGCAATGTTTTATGGTAGGCAAGTCGGTATCTGTATGCAATGGGCTATGGTAGGCAAGTCTGTGACTGCATGCAGTGTGCTATGGTAGGCAAGTCTGTGACTGCATGCAGTGTGCTATGCTAGGCAAGTCAGTGTGTCTCCTTGCAATGTGTTATGCTTATTTAAAACCCCCTTTCACTCACTGAGTCGATGTTGTTGTCCACTGCGTTAAGCTCATGTCACATGAAGCATGAGTTACGAGTTCACGGGCAAGTCTCAACATTCGTGTCACTTTTAAATCATCCCCCTCGAGAGGTTCCCAAAATTCAATTGAATCATCCCTGTGTCCTTAATATTGATAGAGAACCTTAATCAGTTGAGTAAACAGAGGCGTATCGAGGGTGTGATCAATGTGGAACAATTTGAAAAAAAATAGTGAGGGCAAATTTGGCACAACGTAAAGAGGAGAGCATGCGTGGTACAGCCCCAACGTAAAGAGGAGAGCATGCGTGGTACAGCCCCAACGTAAAGAGGAGAGTATGCGTGGTACAGCCCCAACGTAAAGAGGAGAGCATGCGTGGTACAGCCCCAACGTAAAGAGGAGAGCATGCGTGGTACAGCCCCAACGTAAAGAGGAGAGCATGAGTGGTACAGCCCCAACGTAAAGAGGAGAGCATGCGTGGTACAGCCCCAACGTAAAGAGGAGAGCATGAGTGGTACAGCTTGAAAAAGGGGGCTAGGGGGCCAATCTGCGAGCTGTAAAAACAAACCAACCTTTTTTTTTTTTTAAATTTGTTTTATCTTAAAATTAATTCATTTCTTTTAAAGAAGCAATCTTCACTGATAGGAATATTTGTTTCACATCGTTATTATATAATAAAATAGTTTTATCCAGCTTGTTAGGGGCATGATTTTAGCTCTAGCCCTGGGCGCCATTATGTCCTCGGCTTGCCACGGTACGCGACACTTTCAGAGTGAAACTTGTCTGTAAACATTTCAAGATGTTGATGATCCTTACTATATGTGTTTTCATTTGTTACCTTCTGCCAAATGTGTGCTTAATTTTTTTTTACATTTCTTTTGCAGTTCTGTGTGAAATAATAATAATAGCTCAGTTTTTCTTCTAAAGATATAGTATTATTCTCATTCATCTTCTAATCAATAATAAACAGATTTGTTTGTGGTATCAAATATTTCCTATTGTGGCTGGTCATGGAAAGATTAAGAACCCCTGGTTTACACCGAGCAACGTGATCAGAAACACCACGTGATGCTTCTGGTCAAGCATAAAACAACTTCACACTGACTGGCACGCCAGATACGGGGACGTTACTGACCTGACACCCCAGTACAAACATTACCACTTTCAATCAAGGACTTTGACACAGAACACTCACACAACTCCCAAAATGGTAAGTGACAACATTCAAATCGTCTTCCATTTTTAGATGATCGCTATTTCAAATATTTGAGCCATTTCACTTCAGCCGCCGGCAGTGTTGACCCTGCGGAGCCGCATTGGGCTCTTTAGTGGCTCTTAACTCCCACCCCCCCCTTAGCTGCGTTTCTTTATCCCATTTGCATGCGGCTCTTTACCCCCCCCCCCCAAACCTTTTTCCCTTTTTTTTTAAACTGCGACTGCCTACTTTCTTACCAAAGACATAACTTATAAAATGGCGCTTAACTCAAAAAAATATTATCCCCCCTTCTCAGGTCTTCGTTTTATTGCGCAATATTCGCTCAAAGCTAATACAGGTGGTCCTGAAACAGTTGGTCCTTGTACAGGTTGCCCTTATGTTAGTGCATTGCACTTCTATCCCACAACTAGCAACAAATGCAGGAAAAGACAAAAGAAAAGCCATCACTTCAGCACAGGTCGGACTCATTATAAACCTTGAAGGTAAACTTGGGCAACCAAGAGAATGTACTGGAAAAGTGGAGGCCTTCATATACTCATTCAGCACCATTGACACAATTGGTGGATCCGAAGCGGATGTCAAGGCCAGAATTGGTAAGGCTAGGTCAGCATTTGTGCTATTAAAGAAAATATGGGAGTCAAAGGAGCTGACTCTTGCAAACTAAAGTCGGAATTTTCAACACAAATGTCCATACAGAATTTCTCAATGGAACCGAAACTTGGAGAACGAGCATAACGCAGAAAGTACAGACTTTCATAAACACTTGCCTTTGAAAGATCCTGAACATCAAATGGCCAAGCACCATCCCCAACAAAGACATACTGGAAAGAACATACCAGGAGCCTATTGGTGAAAACATAAGGAAAGGGTGGGGGTGGATAGGGCAAACTCTCCGCAAACCCCCAGTTAACATCACCTGACAATCCCTAACATGAAATGTCAGGGATAAAGAAAGAGGATGGCCAAAGAACACATGGCTACGCGAGGCAGACAGAAAGTATGGAATACACCTGGAACAAACTGGAAAGGAAACCACAGGACCGAGGTGAATGGAAAATCCTTGTAGATAGCATATGCCCCAAACAGATGTAAAAGACGTAAGTAATGTTGGCGCCTGCTTAGCATGAGGTGTAACTTTGGGCCCTTTAAATTTATAAGGCCCCCATCAGCCGCAGTAGTTGTAGGCGCACTCAACGGCTCTGCTCAGGAGACCACGAACAAAAAAAAAGCCGGAGAAATTTTAAACTATTTTTGTCTAAGGCTACACATCTCGCTGGTAGTAGCATTTAAGTCACGATTGGATGTTACAAATTGTGTCAAATTCCACAAATTTTATGTTCAAAACATTTCCTAGGGTGGAAGACCACGATAATTTATTAACCCTTGTTTGATACTAAGCTACGCACGTTGTATGTTTATTAAAATGTCTTATTTTAATAAACCTTGTGTTTAATTGTCTGACAGCGCGAGTGTATCTCCGTTCACGTCGGCCAAGCTGGAGTCCAGATGGGAAACTCTTGCTGGGAGCTGTACTGCCTTGAGCACGGCATCCAGCCAGATGGACAAATGCCGCTGGACAAAGCGGTTGGTGGCGGCGATGATTCGTTCAACACTTTCTTCAACGAGTCGGGGTCAGGAAAACATGTGCCCAGGGCCGTGTTCATCGATCTGGAGCCTACTGTTGTTGGTTTGTGAACATGTCTGGCGTAAATGTCTGGCGTAAATGTCTGGCGTAAATGTCTGGCGTAAATGTCTGGCGTAAATGTCTGGCGTAAATGTCTGGCGTAAATGTCTGGCGTAAATGTCTGGCGTAAATGTCTGGCGTAAATGTCTGGCGTAAATGTCTGGCGTAAATGTCTGGCGTAAATGTCTGGCGTAAATTTCTGGCGTTAATTTCTGGCGTAAATGTCTCGTGTACATGTCTTGTGTGCAAGTGTGGTACTCGACTCAGTTGTAACGTTTGTTCAGAGGCTAAACATACAGCGGCGTGGAGCTACTGGTACAGTTGCTAAATGTGTAGCTCTGTGGTCGGGTTTTTCGTGTGTGGTTATCCTGGCTGTACTTTACGCAGGTTTATGATGCCGGATTTTTTTAATGCTTTCTACTTGCTCTTCTATCCCTATGATGGCTTTTTGCCCTTTTATGGATAGACTCACAGCTTTTCAATGCTGGCTAATAATTTTTCCATTTCGTTCCAGATGAGATCAGAACTGGTAGCTACCGACAGCTCTATCACCCAGAACAGATGATCTCTGGTAAAGAGGATGCCGCCAACAATTACGCAAGAGGCCACTACACCATCGGCAAAGAAATAGTTGACCTCGTACTGGACCGCATGAGGAAGTGTGCCGACCAGTGCTCAGGTCTCCAGGGGTTCCTCATCTTCCACAGGTCACTTTGGAGTATAAAAAAAAAAGAACATATCGTCTTCTAGACATTAGTTTAAGTTTGTTGGCAGATGCTCACTCAGATAGGGGACTTACTTTCAGTCAGTACCATATCTGAATGCAGCCACGCACTTGCTCCTATATTGACATATCAAAATGAATTTTACCGAAATTGTGAACTCGGTAAAACCCCAAAATACTTTCGGCATATTTTTTTTCTTGACCCAGTTTTGGTGGAGGCACCGGATCTGGATTCACATCCCTGCTTATGGAGCGACTCTCTGTTGACTATGGCAAGAAATCCAAACTAGAGTTTGCTATTTATCCTGCCCCTCGGGTAAAATATTTACTATTTAATTACATTTAATCATGTTGGTTTTTTTTTAGTTGCAAAAACTTTGTCCAGTTTTATTATGTACTACATTATGGCGTGCTTGTTCATTCGTTCAAATAGTTAACACGCACTGTTTATTTGTTCATTTTCATTTTTAAAATAAAACAAATCCATTTTAAACTGCTTTAAACCTTTCCCCGTCGCAGAGTGGCACCGGTGGTTAGTTTGCCAAACCCTGGCGTAAATTACTAGCAGGTTCTTAATTTATGTGGTTTTTTTTAATAACTGGCCATATTTGTTCGTCCTTCACCTTGCTAAGATCTCCACCGCTGTTGTTGAGCCGTACAACTCGATTCTGACAACACACACCACGCTTGAACACTCGGACTGCGCCTTCATGGTGGACAATGAGGCCATCTTTGACATTTGCCGACGGAACCTGGACGTGGAGCGCCCTAGTTACATCAATCTGAACCGTCTGGTCGCTCAGATAGTTTCCTCGGTTACCGCATCACTTAGGTACTGACTAAATCACCGATCGTTATAAGTTTTCTTGTGGCAATTTTTCTAGAGAAATGTTAAGATAATAATTCATGGACTGCATTCAAGTTGTCAAAATGAAATATAAGAACAAGGTATGCTAAACTTGAATTCCTGGACAGGCCAAACGATTTGGATGTTGCCTGGATGAAGGCTGTAGGCCGAAACGTGCACATCTTTTGCCCTGTCTAGGAATTCAAGTTTAGCACACATTGTTCTTATCTTTACGAGAAATATTGCTAGCTTTCGGGTTTCCTTTCGCATTACATGGATTCTTGTGTTTCTGACTATTAAATCTTGCTGGGATTTAGAATCTATCTGGGATTCACCAGCTGGCTTAGCTAGGTTTAACTCTATTGTGGGCATAGCGTTAACTCTTTACTATATAATTTGTATGTTTAAGGTTTGATCGTGCCCTGAATGTTGCTTGTACTGTTGGTTATCTTTAGGTTTGATGGTGCCCTGAACGTTGATTGCACTTTTGGTTATCTTTAGGTTTGATCGTGCCCTGAATGTTGATTGAACTGTTGGTTATCTTTAGGTTTGATGGTGCCCTGAATGTTGCTTGAACTGTTGGTTATCTTTAGGTTTGATTGGTGCCCTGAATGTTGCTTGCACTATTGGTTATCTTTACGTTTGATGGTGCCCTGAATGTTGATTGAACTGTTGGTTATCTTTAGGTTTGATGGTGCCCTGAATGTTGATTGAACTGTTGGTTATCTTTAGGTTTGATGGTGCCCTGAATGTTGCTTGAACTGTTGGTTATCTTTAGGTTTGATTGGTGCCCTGAATGTTGATTGCACTGTTGGTTATCTTTAGGTTTGATGGTGCCCTGAATGTTTCTTGAACTGTTGGTTATCTTTAGGTTTGATTGGTGCCCTGAATGTTGATTGCACTGTTGGTTATCTTTAGGTTTGATTGGTGCCCTGAATGTTGATTGAACTGTTGGTTATCTTTAGGTTTGATGGTGCCCTGAATGTTGATTGCCCTGTTGGTTATCTTTAGGTTTGATGGTGCCCTGAATGTTGATTGCACTGTTGGTTATCTTTAGGTTTGATGGTGCCCTGAACGTTGATTTGACAGAGTTCCAAACCAATTTGGTCCCATACCCTCGTATTCACTTCCCCCTGGCAACATACGCCCCTGTCATCTCCGCTGAGAAGGTATTTTTATTTTTTTAATCTGATCATCTGCTTTAATACGCAGACAGTACGTGTCATCAATTCTAAATTTTGTTGTAGTTACCCTGTAAAAATGAACATGTTAGTCAACACTTGACACATTTGTGCCTATTGCATCGGGCCTTCCAACCCAGAGTTCCTAATACCCTCGCCGTGTAGCCCTTGCAACCAGTGAAATATCCTCAACACCAGTCACAAAAACATTGCGAATCCCCTTAACGCACATAGGAGCCAGAATGATCAATACATTGATCGTGGGCCCTTAATGTATAGAAGACAAATTCATCAGCATAGTTTCATCTGTGCTCAATAACACTTAAGTCGATGGCCTACGGGATAGTTGTACAATGCTCGATCACTACACTTAAGTGACATTTTGAAATTTATATTAATTGCAATGGAACTACTTAAAACTTAGAATTGATTCATTGCTTCCGGTTAATTTTTAAATCCTACTTTTTTCACATGTCAGGCCTATCACGAGCAAATTTCGGTAGCTGATATCACCAATGCTTGTTTTGAGCCTGCCAACACCATGGTGAAGTGTGACCCGCGTCATGGCAAGTACATGGCCTGCTGCATGTTGTACAGAGGTGATGTCGTCCCTAAGGATGTCAATGCTGCCATCGCTACCATCAAGACCAGGAGGACCATTCAGTTTGTCGATTGGTGCCCGACTGGCTTCAAGGTATGTTGTGTTTTTTTTTCCCAGAGACTAGCTCAGAACATGTTGGTCGGTTGAAGAGAGGGAAAGCTAAAGAGGGGGAAAACGTAAGTTAGGCCTACTTCAGGGTCGACTATAGTTACTTTTAAATGTTAATAAGTTGACTGTTAGTGACAATAAAGCTTACAACTTGATTTAAAATGGCATTTGAACGTAAATGATTTCAGGTCGGCATCAATTATCAGCCCCCCACCGTCGTGCCTGGTGGGGACTTGGCTAAAGTCCAGTGGGCTTTGTGCATGTTGAGCAATACCACCGCTATTGCCGAGGCGTGGGCCAGGCTTGACCACAAGTTTGACCTCATGTATGCCAAGCGTGCCTTCGTCCACTGGTGGGTAGAGCGAGTTGTATTTCTACACAGGCGTATACAAACGTTAAATGATCCGGTTCCGTTTGTTCAAGTTACTACATTATTACCTCTCTGTTATCTCTCTGTTACCTCTGTTACCTCTCTGTTACCTCTGTTACCTCTCTATTACCTCTCTGTTACCTCTCTGTTACCTCTCTGTTACCTCTCTGTTACCTCTCTGTTACCTCTCTGTTACCTCTGTTACCTCTCTGTTACCTCTCTGTTACCTCTGTTACCTCTGTTACCTCTGTTACCTTTGTTACCTTTGTTACCTTTGTTACCTTTGTTACCTCTGTTACCTCTGTTACCTCTGTTACCTCTGTTACCTGTTACCTCTGTTACCTCTGTTACCTCTGTTACCTCTGTTACCTCTTTGTTACCTCTTTGTTACCTCTCTGTTACCTCTATGTAACCTGTTACCTCTTTCAGGTACGTTGGTGAGGGCATGGAGGAGGGTGAGTTCTCTGAGGCACGTGAGGATCTGGCCGCTCTTGAGAAAGATTACGAGGAGGTGGGAGTTGACTCCGGTCCACAAGCAGAAGAGGAGGAGGAGGTAGAGGCATACTGAGCCGGCCGATAGGATAACACAAGACATTTTTTCATAAGTTCATTTTTATTATTGAACTTCATGTCGTTGGCATACTTAGTATTTATCTTATAATGGCATCAATTAATGTTCTATTAATTGCTCGAGTTGTTGTACTGAAAACTGATTATGTGGTGCTTTCAGTCCAACTTTGTTCATTTTTTTCGGGGGGGGGGGGGGTGAAAATTT